AGGAGTCTGTCCGAACGGTAAACATCCAGCCGACCTCCTGGGGGAGCCTCCCGAGTAAGGCTGTTAACCCTCAGCACACTCGGAGAGTGGAGGACCAGCCCAGGCAATTCTAAACTCAGAAGCTAAAGCAAAAAAAAAAAAAAAAAAAAAAAAAAAAAAAAAAAAAGAGAGACAGAGACAGCAATGTGGCCCCGGCTGGTTAGCTGTCTACCCGAGGCTCCCCAGCTACCGTAAAGAAGTGTGTCAGGGGACAGCGGGAGGGGTTAAGAGGAGGAAGGGAGGGAAGGGATAAGGACGCGCGCTGTGAGCTGAGGCCGGCAACAGAACAGCAGGCCCTTGTTGCAGAGTGGCTACGACAGACTCCCCATTTCAGGGATGGTTTGGGGTTTTCACTGAACAAACGGGCTCCTTGTGGTCTCTGCAGGCGCCACGTCCTGGCAACAGGGGGTGCTAAACTTCCAGGCGTCCCCGCCCCTATGCTCACAAAGTTCTCCTTTGTGGACAGACAGCCTTCCTTCCGCTCAAGTCTGAAGTTAGATACTCACGTCGATGCCATCAGAACCCGGCACTCCCGGTGGCCCTGGTGGCCCTGGAGGACCCGGCTCTCCTGGAGGACCTTTCTGAAAACACACACAAGAATGCAGCTCTCAGACAGTATGCAGAACTGAGCTCCCAGGGACTGCTGGGGACACCGAAAGTGAAGGTGACTAGGGCAGCAACTCCCCAAGGAAACGGAACTCCAGCTGGGAGTTTGTTGAGCAGCTACTGTGTGCCGTCACACTCACTATTTTATGGATTACTCAGAACTGTAGGGGGGTAGTATTAGGGGTGACAGGAAGAGGGTGAAGAAACACACACAGGAAAATTAAAGGTTCGTGGTCACAGTGAAAGATGAAATCACAACTGCACCCTAGGTCTGCCATCTTCTTCCCCTGGACCACACTGTCCTTGCATTGGCATGGGTGGGAAATAGCCTCGATGGATGGTACTTCGAACGAGTATTGTTTTCTAACCAGATACAGCGGTGAACGCTCACCTCTCCCTCGGCCCGCAGAGAAGGGAGGTGTGAAGAAGGGAAACTGGTACTATTCTCACTTGGTCCTTCCTGAGGTGGTTCTCGCAGCGGGCCAGCCCCGAGTCAGGAAGATGTCACGCTGGCGCTAGGTGCCCTGAAGTGCCCGACCAGAACCCCACAGGCAAGCTGCACCCCACACCAGTACCGCTTGGCTTGTGGGTGGGTGCCAGGCCCAAGGTCCCCGTTAGGTCCTACTCGGAGCATTCCTTCCCCAGACTCCATCTCCCCAGACGGGAGCTCACAAGCCGGTCAGAGGAGATGCAGTGGGGCGACAGAGAAGTCAGGCTGGAGCCCGGGCCCCTTAGGAGATTCCGGGGGCGGAGGCTCGGCTGTAGACTGACTGAATGGCCACCATTGTCTCCGCCACCACCTGAGCTCTCTCTGCTGCCAGGACCCTGCGCCAGCTCCTGCCCCAATGCTGTCTGTCCAAGGCCGAGCATTCTGGGACAGGGTCCCTTTGGCTCCAGGGCTGATCAATTCCCCTCAGTGCCCCCTGCATGTCCGGTATGCACCCTCCCAGCGGCTCTGTCCTCAGCTGCCCTCAGGCTAGGGATGGCCTACAGCAGATCCCCAAACTTCTGGATCCTAAACCCAGGCTCTGCACCCAGGACTTCGGTGCCAGAGAGGCGGCGGGACTTACGATCTGAGCCAGGGCGAGTCCCAGCACCTGGAGGAGAACGACCAGGCTGCGGAGCGCGTGAGTGGTGGCCATGGTGAGCAGCGGGTTCTGGAACAAGGATGCGGGGTCCAGGCACGCACGGGCAGCGGGGACTGCTCTCTGAGCCACTGGCCGGACCTCCTGAATACGCGGCGGGACGGGGCAGGGACCCGCAGGACTGTCACCTGAGAGCACTGCGGGAAGGAGATGTCCAGCTCCGCCCGGCTAGGGGCGGGTCTTCTGTGCCCACCCTGGGACCTCATTCTGAGCTTGACTGGAGGCCCCAGCTAGGAAGTCCCAGAAACATACAGGGATGCGGGACCAACGTTAACCTGCTTTCTCTGTGAAAAGGCAGACGACCATCGAAGTCCCTTTTCACCCTGCCCTCCAAGATCAACGCCTTCCTCTTGATCGGCAGTCCGGTCCAGTTACCCTGTCTGGGTCTCCTATCCTCCAGAGCCCAGGCTCAACATTCTGCACACCTGGCCAGGTCCTCACCCTGCTCAGTCCTTAGTAACTGGCCTGGACCTCTCCATAGACAAACGGGCCCTGCCATATTAAAACACACCAAAATCTTTCCTGAACCAACCTATCCAGAATTCTCCATTTGCTTTTTCTCTATCCCTCCACTACCGATTCCAGAGGTGTGTCTGTGCCCCTTTTCCTCTTGCCTCCCTGCTTCCATCAACCTAGGAGGCTGATCCTCCAGATGCCACCAGTGAGATCCAAGCATCCTCCTTCCATACTTGAGGCAGGAGGCTGTTAGCATTTGGACCTGCCTTGGCCGTGCTGTCTTCCCTCCCAAACATTCACATGCACCCCACTTGACCTTCTACAACAATACCTTTCAAAGATTAGTTTTTATTTATGTGTATGAGTGTTTTACAGTTCATGCATGCCTGGTGGCCCATGGGGTACCAGATGCCCTGGAACTGGAGTTACAGTAATGCCTTCAGTCTGCCACTATGGACTCTAACCCAATTAAATGCTTCTTTTTTTTTTTTGTTTGTTTGGGTTTTTTTTTTGTTTTGTTTTGTTTTGTTTTTCGAGACAGGGTTTCTCCATGGTTTTGGAGCCTGTCCTGGAACTAGCTCTTGTAGACCAGGCTGGTCTCGAACTCACAGAGATCCGCCTGCCTCTGCCTCCCGAGTGCTGGGATTAAAGGTATGTGCCACCACCACCCGGCTTAAATGCTTCTTTTAAAAGTTGTTCTGGTCTATGGTGTTCTGTTATAGCAAGAGAAGAGTAACTAAATCACATATAATGGTCTTGGGTTCCTGAGCCTTCTGCCTCCATCTCCCAAGTGCTGGCATTAAAGCTATGTGCCCCCACTCCCATCTCCCAAGTGCTGGCATTAAAGCTATGTGCCCCCACTCCCATCTCCCAAGTGCTGGCATTAAAGCTATGTGCCCCCACTCCCATCTCCCGAGTGCTGGCATTAAAGCTATGTGCCCCCACTCCCATCTCCCGAGTGCTGGCATTAAAGCTATGTGCCCCCACTCCCATCTCCCGAGTGCTGGCATTAAAGCTATGTGCCCCCACTCCCATCTCCCGAGTGCTGGCATTAAAGCTATGTGCCCCCACTCCCTGATGGATGCCTTGACAGGATGGTTGGTTTTAATGTCCAACTTGTCACAAATTGGAACCACCTGAACTGGGAGCCACACCTGAAGAACTGTCCCAATCACCTCGACTGATGTGGGAAGAGCCACCCCATTTGGGGGCAGCACCTTTCAGTAGCCACATAGATAAAAAAAAAAGGGGGGGTACCCCTTTAATGGAAAACTGTTTCCTCTTTTCTCTGCTTGGCCCCCCTCTGTCGCTGAGTCGGTTTGCACCCTTGTCACTCCCTCTGCTAATTCCTTCACTGACAGGAGAACCAGTGCCTCCTGCACTTTTATGGTGGAGTAGGGACTAGCAGCTCTCCAGGAACCTTTGAGCTCCTGGTGCCAGGCTGGAACTACTGAGGCACCCCGTCTTGGGGACCCGCTAGCTACTGGTTGTCACCCACCAGTGAGAGACAGTTGTTCTAGAGCTACTCTGACTGTTGAGGCTCCCAGACTCAAGGACCAAGTGACTGCTGGATTCTCAGATGTGATTCAGCTGTTGTTTCTGTTTTAAAGCTCATTTAAGGGCTGGAGAGACTGGAGAGATGGCTCAATGGTTAAAAGCACAGGCTGCTCTTCCAGAGGTCCTGAATTCATTTCCCAGAAACCACACGGTGGCTCCCAACTATCTGTAATGAGATCTGGTGCCCTCTTCTGAGATAAAGGTGTACATGCAGATGGAGCACTTATTAAAATAAAATATAAAAGATCTAAAAAAAGTGGTCATTTAAATTCTGATTTTACACACACACACACACACACACACACACACACGTTCATCTCCTTGGTTCTGTTCATCTAGAGAACCCATACTAAAACATTCTTTTTCATTTTTTTCATTTTGTTTATCTTGTGTGTGGGAGGGAGGACTGCACTCCACAGTGAGTGTATGGAAGCCCGAGGACTTGTGGGAGTTGATGCTCTCCTTCCATCATATGTGTTGATGGGGTTGAACTCGGGTTGCCAGGCTGGTGGCAGATGCCTTACCTGCTGAGCCATGTCATCGTTGGCTGTGGCTCTCTTACTTTAAAAGACAAATCACTTTCTAGTTGATGGCTACACTGGGTTACCTTCCTGAGCCTTAGGCCACTTCATTTGCTTAATTACATGCGTGTGTATGCCTGGGCGTATATATGTGTACTATATGCATCCAGGAGACTGCAGAGGCTAGGAAAGGGCATGGGATTCCCTGAAATTAGAGTGGTTGTTAGTAGGGCTCTGAACGCTGGTCCTCTGCAAGAACAAGAAGTTCCTGTAGCTGCTGAGACAACCCTGTAGACCCACTTCATCAGGGATGGTTGCTATACATTTTGACCAAAGTATACAAGTGTTATTTGTGGGTGGTTAGCGATATGCAACTCACCCGACCAAGATCAGAATGGGACGCTGCAGCCGGGCGGTGGTTGCGCACGCCTTTAATCCCAGCACTCGGGAGGCAGAGGCAGGCGGATCTCTGTGAATTCGAGACCAGCCTGGTTTACAAGAGCTAGTGCCAGGACAGGCTCCAAAGCCACAGAGAAACCCTGTCTCGAAAAACAAAACAAAAACAAAAACAAAAAAAAACAGAATGGGACGCTGCCCCATTCAGGAATAGACTAGCCTTTATTGAGTATCTTTTTCTTTTTTCTTTTTTTTTTTTTTTTTGAACATGAGGCCAAAGCTACTTGAGGGGGATGAAGCGGGAGGAGTGGGAGGAGTGGGTGGCACCGATGCCAGGCCGGCCGTGCATCACAGGCTTGTAGGTGATGGAGAACTCGCCCAGGTAGTGGCCAATCATCTCCGGCTTGATCTCCACCTGGTTGAAGGTCTTGCCGTTGTACACGCCCACCATGCTCCCCACCACCTCAGGCAGGATGATCATGTCCCGCAGGTGGGGCTTCTCCATGGGCGGCGCCTCCTTCTTGGCCTTTCTCAGGCGCTTGAGTAGCGAGTGCTGCTTCCGCCGCAGGCCGCGGTTGAGGCTTCGCCTCTGCCAGGCGCTGTAGAGCTGCATCAGCTGCTCATAGGACATGTCCACCAGCTGGTACAGGTCCACGCCGCGGTAGGTGAACTTGCGGAAGGTCCGCTTCTTCTTCTGCACCACTTCGGCCATCTTGGCGGGGATTCGGAAAAGCTTGAGTATCTTCTGATACTAGGTGTGCTACATCAGACAGCGCAGACGTGCTGGCTCCACTGAAGTCATACTGTGGCTCCAGATCCAGCAAGACAGAAGCATGTTGAAGCTGGGAACGTGGAGAGGACTGTGAGGACCTAGACATCAGCACCCTAGAAACATTTTGCTGGAGACCATCTTTGTAACATCTATCCCAGTAGCCTTGAATTCTCCTAAAAAGCCTCCTTCTTTTCTTCCCTCCTCTTTCCCATGCTTTCTTCCGGAAACATGTGCTTTTTACTCCAGTGAGGAACTGTAGTTTACTAGAGTGTTGTGGATTCATGCTAACTTCCCCATGACTTCCTGGTAAAAGCTAAGATGTTTCATCTGAAGTTCTGTGGTTTTTTTCTTCAAATGGGTGGTGGCGGTGCACGCTTTTAATCCCAGCACTTGGGAGGCAGAGACAGGTGGATCTCTGTGAGTTCGAGGCTAGCCTGGTCTACAGAGTGAGTTCCAGGATAGGAACAAGTCTCCAAAGCTACAGAGAAACTCTGTCTCTAAAAAACAGAACAAAAGGGCTGGAGAGATGGCTCAGAGGTTAAGAGCATATCCTGTTCTTCCAAAGGTCCTGAGTTCAATTCCCAGCAACCACATGGTGGCTCACAACCATCTGTAATGAGATCTGGTCCCCTCTTCTGGCCTGCAGGCATACATACAGACAGAATATTGTATACATAATAAATAAGTAAATATTTAAAAAACAAAACAAGGGGGCTGGAGAGATGGCTCAGAGGTTAAGAGCATTGCCTGCTCTTCCAAAGGTTCTGAGTTCAATTCCCAGCAACCACATGGTGGCTCACAACCATCTGTAATGAGGTCTGGTGCCCTCTTCTGGCCTGCAGGCATACACACAGACAGAATATTGTATACATAATAAATAAATATTTAAAATAAATAAATAAATAAATAAATAAATAAAAAACAAACAAAACAAAAAAATCTATATTTATTTCCTTTGTGTGCCTGTGTATGTATGTGTTCACACATACATGCATGCCTGCCTTCCTTCCTCCCTCCCTCCTTCCCTCTCTCCCTCCCTCTCTCCTTTCTTTTTTTGGATCTAGGTCTCATGTAGCCGAGCTGCCCTCAGACTCACAGACTCACTATGTAGCTAAGGATGACCAGGAACTCGTTCCTCTCTGGTCTCCACTTCTGGAGAGCTGGGATTACACGGTTTAAACCATGCTGGGGACCAGACCCGGGCTTCACTCGTGCTGGGCATGCAGTCTCTGCTTTGTATTCTGAATGCACTGTGACTTACATCCTTTGCCCACTCTGCAGTCTCCTGGGGGAACTGTCAACAGAGACCCTGCCTTAGCCATGGTGATTGTCCTCTGAAGTTTGTTACTCCTCAGTAAAGCAGGTCCCCTGATTATGTCTGTTTTTTTAACTTTAATTTCTTTTTTAGATTTGCTTGTTTTCTATGTATGAACATTCTGCTTACAGATGTGTATATGTGCACGGCACGCATCTTGGTGCACACGTCGGTCAGAAGAGGGTGTCAGCTTCCCTGGAACTGGGGTTGTGGGTGGTTGTGAGTCACTATGTGGGTGCTGAAACAGAACTAGAGCCCTTTCTTTGCAAGGCTGCAAGTGCTCTAAACACAGAGCCATCTCTCTGGCCCTTATTTATGTCCATTTCATACCAAAGAAAACAGCTTTAGCAGAAAGGACTTTGCCAAGACCACACAGTGATTACTGTTGTTTCCTGCTCAGCATGGATCCCAGGGACCTGTGCTTGCTCCCTTTTCTCACTGAAGCCGCAGCATGGGGATACCCATTTTGAGCTATGTACAGAAATGGAAGACAGGGGTCAAGAGGGCAGAGGGACCACAAGATTGTTACAAGATGTTATATAGTTGGTCCTAGACGTTCATAGAAGAGTCCTTGGAATCTTTTGTTTGATGTGAGGTTTGAAAACTAGGAGTGTTTCAGACTTCCTAAAGCGGGGCTGGAGATCTAGCAGAGATTGCTAATTTCCCTGACTTTTCTTCCACCTCTTGAGGGAAGACAAACCTGACTGGTCCAGGACTGCAAAATAGGCTGGCTGGTGCTCTGGCGCCACCTCGTGGTCACTATTCGCAGTACCTCATGTTGATGACAAGTTACATAGAAAAGCCCATTTCCCTGGAGCTCTAGGGGAAGGAGACAAACCGTTAGAACCCTGCCGGGAAGGGGCTGGTGGGAAGGCTCAATGGATAAACCACCTGTTGCCAAGCTCGAGGACTAGTGTTTCAGTGCTGGGATCCACACGGTCGAATTGTTCTCTGACCTTCATGTGTGTGAGCACACAAATAAATAATGTATCTTCGAAAAAGAACTCAGTTTCGGGAAAGATGATGGCTTTCGAGAATCAGACCTGGGGCTGAGAGATGACTGAGGCTAAGAGAGCTTGCTGCTTTGTCTTTCTTTTCTTTTCTTTTTTCGAGACAGAGTTTCTCTGTGTAGCTCTGGCTATCCTGGCACTTGCTCAGTAGACCAGGCTGGCCTCGAACTCAGAGATCTGTTTGCCTCTGCCTCCCCAGAGCTGGGATTAAAGGTGTGCGCCACTACTACCTGGCTGACAGCTTGCTGCTTTGACAGGAAACCCAAATTCAGCTTCCAGAACCCACACTGAGCCGCTGACAACTTCGTGTAACTGCAGCTCCAGGGGATCTGAAGGCCACTTCTGGCCTTCACAGGTACACATGTGCATGACACACCCAGCCCCTTAGACATATCATTTTAATATATACATAATTAAAGATAATTTTTCAAGGGGCTAGAGTGATGGCTCAGAGGTTAAGAGCACTGACTGCTCTTCCACAGGTCCTGAGTTCAATTCCCAGCAACCACATGGTGACTCACAACCACCTGTAATGAGATCTGGTGCCCTCTTCTGGCCTACAGGCAGGATACTATATAAATAATTCTTTTTAAAAAAAGATAATTTAAAAAAAAAGAATTTGGCTTCAAATAGAATTGGATCCTCATTCTACTCTATATTGGCTGAGTGACCTCAGGCAAGTCTCTTCATCTCTCTGATCATCATTTTCCTCATTTGTAAAGTGGAGAGCATGCGTTTACCAGCCCCTCCTTATATCCAGCGCATGTTTAACATTGAGCCTGGAAAGCTTTAGATGTTTATCCTATGCAGAAGGCACTTCATAAGCAAAGGCAGGGAGCAGGGTATGCGAGCATTCGGAAGACAGTAGCAACAGCTGCTCCCTCTTCCCTGAGTCTCAACTGGTCAGTCCCTGCAGCAGAGCAGGGCAGCAGATGAGCCGGCTTGGAGGTGTTTATTTTAAAGAAGCGTGTGCGCGCGCGCGCGTGTGTGTATACACATATGTGTGTGTGTGTGTGTGTGTGTGTGTGTGTGTGTGTGTGTATGTAAGTGCAGGTGCCCCAGAGGCAAAGAAAGGGCATCAGGTCCCCTGGTTGTAGTCCAGGCACTTGTGAGCTGCCCAGGACAGGGTGCTGGGTCCTGAACTCTGGTCCTCAGCAAGAGCTGCAAGGCTCTTAGCGACTCAGTCATTTCTCCAGCTGTTTGTTTTTAATTTCTTGCTTTGTAGCCTAGGCCGGCCTAGAAATTACAGTCCTTCCACTTCAGCATCCTGAGTGTTGAGATTCCAGGCATGCCCGCCACACCTACTGAGGGAAATGTCTGTCTGTCTAATATAGAGCCAGCAAGAAGCCAGATCCCAGCAAGGAGCCAGATCCCTCCCGGGAGCAGCTGCCCATCCTCAGCTGAGCGCAGCCCCCTGCAGGTTTGCTCCCCTGGACTGTGGCTGTCCCTTGTGCTCAGGAAACACCCTAAACACCAATTACCTGCTCGCACCTCTCCTTTCTTCAAGGTCTCACTATGTAGATCAGGCTAGCCCCCACCTGCCTCTGCCTTCCCAGTGCTGAATTTAAAGACGTGCACCCCCACGTCCAGTTCCTCCAGCGCCTCTGAACAGCCGCACCTGTCTCCGGTTCTGTCTGCCCGCCCACAGATGCACCTGACTCTTCCCTGGTCCTGAGCCAGCACCCACCACCTGCAGGGCGGTGTCCTAGCTCTGTTCCTTTGGTTTCCTTCTGTCTCTTTAGCTGCTCCCTTTAGGAGCTTTTACTCTGCACACCCTGGCTTGGCTCGTCCCTAAAGGTCTGTTCTGCCCTTCTCTTTTCACTTGTCCTGCTCTTCCAGAACCACGCATGCATTCGTCTTTAGAATTATTATGATGAAGATTTGTATGTGATATGTGACTATAGAGTCAGTTCTTTTTTATTATTTATTTATTTATTATGTATACAATATTCTGTCTGTGTGTGCCTGAAGGCCAGAAGAGGGCACCAGACCTCATTACAGATGGTTGTGAGCCACCATGTGGTTGCTGGGAATTGAACTCAGGACCTTTGGAAGAGCAGGCAGTGCTCTTAACCTCTGAGCTATCTCTCCAGCCCTAGAGTCAGTTCTTTCCCTACACCTTTATGTGGACTCAGCTCACCAGACTTGCATACCAAGCTCTTTTATCCCAATGAGCCACCTTGATGACCCTATAGATTGGTTGGTGCCTTGCTTGTTTTGTTTGTGACAGGGTCTCATGTTGCCCAGGCTAACCTCAAACTCCCTATGTAGAAGATGAGCTTGAACTCCTGATCTCCCGCCTTTGCCTCCTGAGTGCTGGGATTACAGACGTGCACCACATGCCTGTATTCTATAGTGCTGAGAATGGAGCCCAGGGCTTTGAGCGTACAAGGCAAGCACCCTGCCAACTGAGCTACACCTTCAATCCCTCTCCTTGGCCATCTGATCCACCCCATTGGCTTTAATTACCGGTTGCTTTGTTTTTCCTGGGGCTACACAGAGAAACCCTGTCTCAAAAAACCAAAAATAAATAAGTAAAAATGGAAAATTGTTTTTACTGGGCTACACGAAGAAACCCTGTCTTAAAAGTTGCTTTTAAAAGTTGCTTTTAAGGG